TGCAGGGGTCAAGTGGTGGTGGCACACGTCTTTAATCCTAGCACTCGGGAGACAGAAACAGGCAGATCTCTGGGAGTTGAGGCCAGCCTGGTCTACAGAGCAAGTGCCAGGTTAGGCTCCAAAGCTACACAAAGAAACCCCATCTCGAAAAAACAAAAAACAAACAAAAATCAAATGTAGAATGAATTCCAGTTGTTTCTGGTGGCACGTGCCTGTGTGACACAGCAATACCCACTGCAGCATCTTTACCCTCCATCTCAACTCTGTGAAGCCCTGTGTCATGGTGATTTCACAGCAAGCTCACAGTGCAAGCCATCACACCATGCAGTGCTACCTAAGCTGTCTGAAACACCTCAGCTCAGATTTGAGACTACAGAATGGCAGTCTTTACTATGCAAAGTTCTCTGTGCTTACAGAAACTGGTTTAACTGCAGACAACACAGACTTTTGGGTATTTTCCTACTGCTATTCTATAGTATGCATCACATCTGTGTATGTTTGGACTGTACTGTGTTAGAGTATTTGATCTTAACAATCGCTGTTTGCGTTGTAGGCTTGAGGTTTACAAAAATTCACTAAATGAGTTTTGGCTTAAGATGAGGACAGAATTTCCAACAATTTCTGAAATGGCTTTAAACATACCCCTGGTATTTTACACTAAATATTTATATACATGAAGCAATGTTCTCAGCATTGGTTATAAAATCACAGGGTAATCAGCTCCGGAAAGGGTAAAGATGCCCTACATCTTGCAGGGTCGGATACTCTGCCAGGGTTTAACGCTTACGTAGAACCAAGCCAGCACACCCATCCCACTAGTGTGAAGATTCACTTTCGTTTTTGATAAGTGACAAATACCAAAGAACTGTTTCGAAATAAATTTCTTTGTGGTTTATTATCAGTGAGGGTTGGATTTGTATATCTGTATTATATACCTATACAAGTAAATTTTCTTGGGCAAAAAGGAGTTGTAAAAAAGTATAAGAAACCCCAAGTTAAAGAGTTTCTTCCCAGAGACTCTGTGGGACCCTAATCCTTGGAACTTTTAAATGCTCACTTAACAATTTCCAGAGAACTATGTCATGACCACTCCTAGGCTTTTTGTGTGTGTCAACAGGGTGGAGATGCAGACGGAATCCACCCACCCGATGGACTCTCTTGTGGCCATCTATCTGCCTCTGTTCCTAGATCTGTTTCTGGTCCACTCAGCTCTCTACTGATTTTTGGCCTTGGCCACTGTGAGACTGTAGACAGGTCAGCAGACAGCAGTGTGGGAAGAAGGCAGGCCAGATGGGCTTCATCTCTAGGATAAAGGAGTTGGAAGTTTGGTGAAGTCACAGGGAAGACAGGATCTCCATTTCAGCCTTGGCAGAGGTAAGAGCTACTGGCTAGGTGCTTTGCTTCTCTCATCTTCAGTGGCTTTATGAGATCATAAACAATATATCACCACAAGGGAGTATGGAGGAAATAGTCAGCCAGTTGGGCCTGTGGACCACAAGAACACTGGCTTCTTTCTGAGTGGGATGAGATGATACTGGGAAAGGCCTTTCTGGAGAGCAGAACTGTGCATGAGTGGGAGCCTGGCTTCAGGAAACTCATAAGCCATGGAAAAGAGAGGCCACCATGGTACATGTCTACTTCTAGGAGCTTTGTTGACTGAGACAGCAGGACAGTGGGGTAGTTGGTAGAGGAAAGGAATAAAGAACGGGCTTTTATTTTCAAGGTAGAGAACTCTGGCAGTTACCATGCTGATGCCATGATTCCGGAGAGGGAGGGTAACATGGTATGGGAAAGGACCTGAGCTAAGCCCTCCAAGGGAGCAGACTGAGCTGTAGCCAGCACAGCAGGCCCCATATGGAAGCCATTCTGTCCACTTCTAGAAGTGCCCATCACAGGCAGCTGTGGAACCAAGCTCTTTCCTGGACGCCTCTGTCTTTCTCCAGAGGGAGAAGCCATGCCACCTGTTGCCACAAGGAAGGTGCTGGGGAGAGAGGCGGCCAGCAGTCATCCGCAGGCAGCCCACCATGTAAAAGGCACAGCGTCCACTCTGCACGATATTTGTGAAAACGATGCCCTACTGCTGAGGATGGCGGTTTTTGCCTCCCACGCTGGGAAGCAGGTGCACACTTCATGTCACACGGTATGGAGGGAACAAATGATGTGCAGGATAGAAGCCTAGCTCTGGCATGTCACGACTTTCTGTGGACACCAGCTTTGTGAAAATCACATCTCAGCCTTCCAGTGTGCATTTTCTGTGGTGTGAATGAGGCCAAATACCTTTTGTCTTAGACTTGTATTTCCTTTGCCAGGAGCTTCCTGTGAGTGGTCTGTGACCTGTGTTTAATCTCCTATGGGTGGCGTGTCTTCTCTTGCCTATGTGCATAAGAAGCTATGTTACAGGGTCTTGGACTGCCGAGCTACCTCAGCAGGTGGAGCTGCTTGTCACAGCCAAGCCCCGGGATCCACAGGGTGGACGGCTAGAAACCAAGGTTGTCCTTTGATCTTTCCATGCAGGCATGCACTGACCCTCTCCCTCCAAATTCTTTTTTAATTTGAGGATGTAGCACCCCCTCAGTGTCAGGGACTCCCTAAGTTATTATTTGCTTTGTCAGACACACTAATTTTTGTTTAGAATTTTTCCTTCTAATAGGATTCATTTTATGGATTTACTTTTATGGGTATGGAGGTTTTCTGCCAGAAATGCAAGCATTCTTCCTACCTCAAAATTATTTCTAGAACTTTCCCCCTCATTGTTTTTGAAGTTTTTATGGTTTCCTTTATTTTATTTTTTATCTTTTTTTTATTTTAAACAAATTCTCACTGTATGGTCCTGGCTGTCCTATGTAGATCAGGCTAGCTTTGAACCTGCCACCACCTCTCAAGTGCTGGAATTAAAGGTATGTGCCATCAAGCCCAGCTTGGTTTCATTTTGTTAATTTATTTTAGATCATTTTTTATTTGTGGAGAGAGAGAGGAGAGAGAGAGAGAGAGACAGAGACAGACAGAGAGAGAGAGAGAGAGAGAGAGAGAGGAGATTATGTCATATGTATGTGATGTATGTATAAGCCCACAGAGGCCAGAACAGGACATCAGGTTCCCTGAAACTGGGGTTATAGATGGTTATAACCTGACTGATATGGGTGTTGGGAATCAAACTTAGGTCCTCTGGAAAACCAGTAAGAGCTCCTGAAACTGTTGAGCCATCTCTCCAGCCCTGATTCCTCCCTCCCTCCCTCCCTCCAGGTTTACATCAAATCTTGGTCCCTCTGGTAGCTGTGAGGCAGTGGGGGAGGGCATGCCTCACGACTAACTCATCAATGTATTTTTAAAGTTTTTTTGGCCTTATACTGCTTTGTCTAGGTCTTTTTGTTTATTTGTTTTGTTTTTTTGAGACAGGGTTTCTCTGTAGCTCTGGAGCCTGTCCCGGAACTCACTTTGTAGACCAGGCTGACAGAAATCCAACTGTCTCTGCCTCCCGAGTACCCGGATTAGGCTCTTTTGTCTCTCTCCCTCTCCCTCTCCCTCTCCCTCTCCCTCTCCCTCTCTCTCTCTCTCTCTCTCTCTCTCTCTCTCTCTCGTTTTTTTTTTGTGCAGGCCTTTTTAGTTTTTAACCTTCTGATCTTTTGATTGTATATTATAGTTCCCAATCTTGGATTTTTATGGGTTTTGTGTGTCTGCATATACATGTGATTCTTGTGCTTTTTTTTTTTTTTTAATTCTGGTTTGTTTTTGTTGTTGTTGTTGTTTGTTTTGTTTTTTCCTGTTAATTTTCTTAAGAGAGAGAGAATAAAGGTGTGGAGTTGGATGGGTGGGGAGGTAGTCATGATCAGAATATATTGTGTGAAAAAATTATTTTCAATTAAAAAAAAAGTTAATCCAGCTGGGCCTGCCAATCACCTGTCCAGATCATCCCTCAGGAAAGATGATTCACTAAAACCCTGCTAAAGAGATGGGAGGAATAATTATCTCCTTAATATGATAATATACTTTCCTTCCCAGGAGCCCCTCCCAATGCAGAGACTTCAATAGCTTTCCTTTTGTTACATTGCAGTCTACCAGCTTTTCTGAGTGACCCAAAAGCATACCTGTAGGGAGAGACCCTGGATACCAGTGCTGCAGACCACGCCCGAATGGGCGTGGTCACAGGTAGATAGAGGGGTAGGATAAAGAGCTAGGAAAGGAGGCGCTCCTCCTCCACTTCCGGGGTTCAAGCCGGTCTCAGTGTGCGTCTGAGACTGGGCTGCTCGGAGTGCCAATCTGGTTATCAGCTACACGTGTGAGTTCTCATTGTTCTCATTTATCATATACCATCAATAACCGTATCTCATGTACGGTTGTGTCCTTATCAATACCTTTTCCTTTCCCTTCAAGCCAATTTTGCTAGGCATGCTCTCTTTCCTTGGCACCATGAGCCTTCTCACTCTTTTTCTGGAGCTTCCCACCTCTTGCCGACCTCCACTGACAAAGGCGTAGCTTCCTCTCTTCCTTTTCTGCATCTCTTTCATCAGGCAGCTGCAGAGATTGCCAGCTTGTCACTTAACCTCAAACAAATGACTCTTTTTTTTTTTTTAAATCGAGTCATGCCTGCCAGGAGTGGCTGGATCCCTAGTCCTGAGTGACTGGCATTCACCTGCCAGCTGGTCCATCCTGTGTTCTCTGAGGCTTGATGTCTGCAAAGGATGCTCTTTCCCTCTCTCTCCATCCTTGTGGAGCTGAGAGAGACACTGAACGTGTGTGTGGTTGGTGCAACGAACCACACTTCTTCCTGCATCCAGACAATAATTCCTTATTGAGCATATTGGGCAACAAATCGACAGAAACCTCTCTCAAACTAGACAATGTCAAAGGCTCGTTCTACTGATGGCAAATCAATAGCACGACTTTCAGAGGAACTTGGAATGAACGCATGTCAGACATACCAATAGGAAAATACCAATGAGGTTATTCTTGTCACAAAGTCAGGGGCAAACACATGTTACTTTCTGTTTTGGAGTGTTTACAAATGGAGCCCATTTAATTCTTATAGTAACTGCTCCTCTCTCTCCCCTCTCTCCCCCCATCCCTCCCTCCTTCCCTCTCTCCCTCTCCAGGTTCAGGAGGCTGGGTAAGTTACACAGAGGATCTGTCTAGCATCTCAATGTCACCAACTCCTAAAAGTGCATTTGGCCCTGGTTGTTCTGATCCGTCCATTCCCCTTGATGAGCTCATGGAGTCTTTGGGATGGGGGCTGTAGATATGTTGATATGTTGACATATCAACCTGGCCAGCCTCCGGTGCCCACAGACTCTCGTCAGATGTCAGTATGTCAACCTGGCCAGCCTCCGGTGCCCACAGACTCGTCAGATGTCAGTACAGATGTTGTTACAAAGGTATTCTGAAGATGAGGTTATGTTTCAACACAGGAACTTAAAGTAGATCATTGTCCATAATATGATGGGTCCCACCTCACTAGCTGAAAGACTTAAGAGAAAGAGCTAGGACTCTCCCAGGAAAGTACTTCTGCCTCTGAACATCCTCAGAGTCAAACCTGGGACTCTAATCCTTTTGTAAACTCCCAGCTGTCCTGTCCTGTAGATTTCAGGTTTGCTAGATCCCACAGTGAGCCAGTTCTTTAAAGTCAATCTCTTGAAAGTCAATTCTTTAAAGAGAACCTCAACCTCACCTCCTGTCTTTCTGCTGCCTAGAAAGCTCCATGCCCCATGTCTGGTGGCTTCTTGACCGTCCCCAGAAGTTCTGTGGCCATGGAGGACACCCTGGAGAAGGGCAAAGGCTGCAGACTCCCAAGTGCACAGCAGGGCCTCTTCACAGGCAGGCAGCCTTGTTACTGAGGGGACTAGGAGGAACTCTGAAACCCCAGTGCGCAGATCCCCTCCAGGAAGAGGAGTTTCCTTTGAGCTGAAGAAAGCCTGGCTCACTCTCACTCAGGACCGGGCTTCACAATGCCATCATTGCATCATTTTCACGTCACCCGCACAAGAATTCCAGAAGCTGAGCCTCAGAGTCATCCAGAACATGTTGGTCACGTTTGTGACAGGTGTGATTCGAGTTCAAGTTACCCACGGCTACACTCCCATGGCACTGTAGCCAGCTAACCGCGGCAGCATCAACGTGGGCTGAACAGTGAGAAACAACACTCACTTTCCATTTTCTGTCCTCTTCCTCATTTTCCTCACCTACCGTCTCTTTCCAGATTCATAAAGTGGTTGGTTTTAGAACTACAGAGATGGCAAAGCACCCTGGCTTGGGTCCACTTCTTCATTTCACTTTCACTGAGGGAGTGTGTGTGTGTGATAGAATACAAATATATTTATCATCCCTCCCACGCAGTGTATTCATGCTCGTGTGTGTGTCCGTGTGTGTGTGTGTGTGTGTGTGTGTGTGTGTGTGTGTGTGTGTGAATTGTGTATGGTGTGTGTCTGTGTGTGCATGTGTGTCTGTGTGTGCACCCATGTGCGTGTGTATGAGTGTGTGTAAGTGTGTGGTGTGTATGTGTGCATGTGTGTGTATGAGTGTATGTGAGTGTGTCTCTGTGTGTGCACGTGTGTGTGTGTGTATGTGTGCGCACGTGTGTGTGTGTGTGTGTGCTCTTGTGTCTATGTGTGCGCACGTGTGTGTGTGTGTGTGTGTGTGTGTGTCTGTGTGTGTGTGTGTGTGTGTGTGTGTGTGTGTGTGTGTGTCTTAATCTGAGGTCAACCTCAAGTGTCATTCCTCAGGGGCCATCTACCTTGTTTTGTGAAACAGGGTCTCTCTCTTAGCCTGGAGCTGGCACACTGATTTGGCTAGGCTTGTTGGCTAGCAAGCCTTGGAGGTCCCCTGTTGCCACCTTCCCAGGGCTGAGATTACAGGATCAGAACGCCACACCCAGCTTTTGTATATGGGTTCTGGGGATTGACCTTGGGCCCTGAGGATTGCATGGTAGAACTTTACTGACTGAATTATAGTCCCATTCCAGTCTATACTCACTGTAATGATCTTCCCAGTGTTCAAAATATATTGGAACTCCATCTTAGACAATTAAGGGTTTTGACGTGCAAAAACCTTTGTAGGTGCCTGATGGAGGCTTTGTGAAGGAAGCTAGCAAAGTCACCAAGGCTCATAAATGGCCCACCTGAACTTTCTCCTGGAGGCCAGTGTGAAATCCTGCAGTTAGCTTCCATCCACGCCTTCAGCCTTTGAGTTCTGCTCTGCCCCTCACCAGTAAAAGCTCAAGCCTGTTTCAGACTCAATACTTGCTAACATCTTGCAACCTTCTCTCTTGTACAAACTGACAATTGCCTGCTTCCTACCCAATGCCCACGAGGAAAAGGAGAGGCACAGCTGGATGGAATGGGTTTAGAGATCTGCCCTGAAGGAGAATGGCAAGAGAGAGAGACAGGAAATGGCTTCAGACCATAGCTTTCAGCCACAGGGCACTCAGAAGAGATGAGGGCTAGGACCTTCTGCAGGCTGACTTTCTTGGAGTTAGGGAAAGGGTGGAGATCACCAAGGTGAGGCTCTGGGCTGTGTGCTGAGGATGGCTTGCTGTGGATTCCTTGGAAGGGGAGCTTAGCAGCGTGTTCATGCCGCCCCCCCCCACCCCCATCCCTGCACCACACTCGACCATGTTCCCAAGGCTCCCTCAGCTTTTTATTCCAGAAGAAACATAGAAGAGGAAGGCTGAGGGTGACATAAATCACACTACTGCCCTGGTGTCGAGGCCACAGCAGCTATTCAGTCTCTGCTTCTGTTCCCCATAGCACTTATGCTCAATGTGGTGGTTAATTTACTGCTGTTGCCAAGACCTTGGTCCTGGGAACCCTAAGCCATAGTAATGACGCCCTCCTAGGACAGGTTGATGCCTGTGAGGGAAGGAGCTTCTACACAGACTCCTCCTGGGCCACTGTGCAGTGGCAGCCCTCTGCTAAGAGCAACTCTGCTTAGCCGATCTCTACACACTGGGGTCAAAGCAGCTGTAGCTTGTGGTTCAATGGGATCTTTGCTGTTTTCCTTTGAGAGTTCCCCTTGTGGGACCATGGCTCCATTCAGGACTGTCCATGAAGATGACAGAAATGCTACTGCACGTTTGCAGTGATCCTCTCAGTGAGGCCACCTATCCATCAAGCTTGGACTATGAGACTAGCTGAGCAAGGACGGTGGAGACTTGTGGGTGGTCTGGCTCAGGAACATCTCAGATAGCCTCCTGCTGTATCTCAGGTTCATCTTTCATGTACCCCTCCCGTCTTCTGATAGACTGATGCTGGGGCCATTCAAATGACTGATGAGTCTCCCAGGACCTGGCTCTCAGTGAGCCCCAAGGTCAAGTGTTGCCTCTGCATCTGCTTGTCTTCTGGCCAGTCCCAGGCACAATCTAATGTCACATCTCCTCTCACAGTTGGCGTCACAGCAGTTTCTCTTGGAGGGGACCCATTGACTACCTCTAGGCTGTGACAACACTACCTTTTCTCGATGACCCCCCAGAGCTTCTTGACCCCAGCTCTCCTCAGGCCCCATATCCAACTCTCCTCAGCATTGTCTTTCCAGGAGCAGAAGTCTGATCTTTGGCCCTTACATGTACTGTTGGTAGCTAAACTGTGCACCTTAAAAAGGCATATTTACTACAGAACTAACCTGCAAGGCAAAGTGTGCCCACTGGTGCAATAGTAGTAAGCCTGTTATAAAGTTAACTGCTTTCTGATTAAAATCGAGGCCTATGTCACAGAAACCAATTCATATCTAGTACCATAAACCCAGTCAAAAGCCATGTTGGGGAAATCATAGGTCCTAGAAGATTAGCTACAGCTGTTGTTTTGCTAAATGGATTTTATGTGCTCATCAGATCACCTTCTTAAGAACCATGTTTATCCCCACAGATGAGTATTGCTGCTAGATTTAGTCAAAGAAGGCAATAGTCACTGCAGAGACTCTCACAACTGATCAAAGTGCTGAGAATGAATGACTATTAAATGCTAACCATGAGTGAGGCATCTATGTTACGCTCTCAAGGCTCCTGGGGCTCACAGAAGAGAAGGCAGAATGGATGGCTGTAAGAGCTTGTGAATGGGATAGAGTATTGTGGCCGTTTTCTATACATGGCATGACCAGTAACTTTAGAACATATTTTTATTTTTAATCATGTGTATGTGTGTATCTGTGTGTGGGTATGTGCAGGTGAGTGCAGATGCAGAGACCAGAGGTGTCAGATCCCCTGAAGCTGGAGTTACAAGGCAGTTGGGAACCACACGATACTGGGAATCAAACTTAGGTCCTTGGAGAAATATGAGCTCTTACCCTTTGTGCCACCTCTCCAGCCTGGCTATTACACTCTTCTGCTCACAACAGCTGTGAGTACCTGCATGAGACTACGCCCATCAACACCCTGCTACAGGGCTGGGAGTATAGCTCAGTGGTAGAGACCGTGCTTAGCAAGCTCAAGGTTCTGGGTTTGATGTCAGAACCAGCCAACCCACCACAAATAAGACCACACCCATGGCCCAGTGCAAGAACTTTCACATGTCCTTTGATGTGTGTGTGCATGTAGGTGTGTGTGGGCAGGGTGGAGTGCACATGTGTGTAGGTCTGCTTGCATGTGAGTGTGGGGTACTGTCTGTGGTCCCAGCACTCACTCTGCACAGTCATGTTTCATCTATGGCCATATCTCACCTCGCTCCATGAAAGGACTCCAGTCAATGTCTGCTTCCACTGTCTGCCTGGAGGTCTGTTTCTGTTAGACTGCTGTGGAACTGACTTGACTGCTTGTGGAAAGAGCCAAGTCAGACCCGGCCTCAGACCTCAGAGTCTGGTATACAGCAGGCCCCAACATGAGATGTCGGGGCCTACGGTGTTAGACACCGCATCTTTGTGAGTACAAGTCTACTGACACTCAGCCATCCAGGGCCAACTTCCAAACATCTCCTGACTACAGAAGACTCACAAGTCCTTGGCCTTCAAGGAGAAGCCTTTAGCATCTGACCAGCCAGTGTCCAAGCTCTGAGAGTACCTGGATGGTGGTAGGGGTGAATTGGGCAGATCTCCAAATTTAAACACATCTAAGCCCCAAATGCTTCAAGTCCTTTAGCAGCTCTCAGTAACAACAAATGGAATGGAAGGTTTTGTCACGTGACAGCTACACACAGAAGAGAGCCACAAGGGCCCATGGCAACCATCAATCAAAGGCAATTTGCAGCCAGTGTTTCAACAGTACCATTGGTGCCATGAGCTTCAGGGTTTAGTTTTAATTAGGGCAGAGTGGCTCATCTCCAAGCTAGGCCTGGGAATTACCAGGTTCTCACAACACATCGTGTAATTTGGCAAAGTGGCTTTCTGGAGAGCTGTTGGAGTGATGGGGCTGCTTAAGGCCAGCTGTGCTCTGCATTGTCCAACTGCACTGTTCCCATGGAAGCCTCTGGAGGGTTCATTCTGACCTGGGATGCAGAAGCCACAGGACCAAAAATAATTTCCTAGGACAGAATCACAGGAACCCAGAAGCCCTTGACCCTCCTTTTCTTTTCTTCTCACTCCTTATGACTCCCTTCCTGTTTTGTTTTTTCTTACAGGGTCTCATGTTACAGCCTGGGCTGACCTGGAACTCCTTACATAGTCCAGGCCAATCTAGAACTTGGCAATCCTCATTCACACAACACACACACACACACACACACACACACACATTCCGAGACAGGGTCTTGTGTACCAAAGGCTACCCTGGAACTCATCTCCTGCCCCCAATGAGGAAGACACTAAGTCCAGAGATCAAGAAGCACTCACAGGTCATGGAGCCACAGGAAAGCACTCAGAGCCACCACTCAGACTGCTACCAGCTTCTGTGGAAAGCACTGTATCTATCTCCTGCTGTCCAGGCCAGATGGCTCTGGTCACATCCCCTGCCCAGCACAAGGCAGATGCTACATGTCCAGCTTCCTCCTTGCTCAGTGAACATCCATTATGTGTGTCTGACCACTTATTTAAGATTGAAGGAGAAAGTGTAGGAGCCCATAGTTGTAGCGATAAAGCCTTCTGTAAGCATGAAGGGTGACACTCCTCAAATATGTTGCCTCCGTATCTGGAAAGCTGTACATAAGGTACTCTAGCCAGCCCAATCTCAGTGCCACGGTCATGAGGCGGCACACTGCCTGGGAGCCACAGATACACTGGTCACACACAGGAATCTCTCTGTTCACTGCACTTTTGCTTCGGCAATTCTCTTATCTGTGCCTTCTACATGATCTCATATTTTTCTTCTGCAAATCATACTTTAC